CCCGCCAGGGCCGAGGCAGCGGCCGAAAAAGCGCGCGCGCCGCCGCCGCCGCCGCCGAAGCCCCGCCCACCCGCTCGTCACTCGCGCGCTGCCCATTGGCCGGTTGCCATGGCGACGCCCGCTCGCGCGGGGCGGGCGGGAAAGGGGCGGCCAATGGGAGCGCGCTGCTTTGGCGGGCTCGGGGAGCGTGGTGGGCGGGGCCGGGGGAAGCCGCGCTCATGCGCAGCGCCAGGAGCGCACGTGCGGGCGGCGCGAGAGCCCCGCCGTGAGGGGAGAGGCCCCGCCCACCTCCCGCCATGAGGGGCTGAGGGGGCCTGAGGGCAGCGGGACCCCCCTGGAGGGGACGGATTGCCCCCACACTGTCACCTGAGGGACTGCGACCCTCCCTCAGGGGCTGAGGGAGCGTGAGGGCAGCGGGACCCTCCTGGAGGGGATGGATTGCCCACCACATTGTCACTTGAAGGACTGCGACCCTCCCTCAGGGGCTGAGGGCAGCAGGACCCTGGTGGAGGGGACAGGATTGCCCCCCACACTGTCACCTGAGCGACTGCGACCCTCAATCAAGGGGCTGAGGGCAGCGGGACCCTCCCCGAGGGGAAGGGTTGTCACCCACACTGTCACCTGAGTGACTGCGACCCTCCCTCAGGGGCTGAGGGCAGCAGGACCCTGGCGGAGGGGACAGAATTGCCATCCACACTGTCACCTGAGTGACTGCGACCCTCCCGGGGTCGCCCGGACAGGACACCCCTGGAGTGGACAGGATTTTCCCCCCTCCTCAGTGAGTATAGAGGGGCTGGGACCCTCCTGCAGGGACTTCAGAGGGGCTGCTCCCCTCATTACTTGAGCGGCTGAGGACCCGTGAGGGCTGGTGGGTGGCCCCATTATGGCTCCAGAGGATCTGAGACCCCCACACGATGTCACCCAAAGGACTGAGGGACTACAGCGGGAGCGGAACACGCAGAGACGACAGGATACCCCCACAGTGAGTCCAGAGGGGCTGGGACCCGCCCCATAGTGACTTCAGAAGGGCTGAACCCCCCCCATCCCCACCCTGCCATCACCTGAGGGACTGCGACCCTCCCTCAGGGGCTGAGGGACCGCGGGGGTGGGCAGGACACCCCTGGAGGGGACAGGATTTCCCCCCCTTCCTCAGTGTAGAGGGGCTGGAGCCACCCCCCTGCCTGAGGGGCTGGGACCCTCCTGCAGTGACTTCAGAGGGGCTGCTCCCCTCATTACTTGAGCGGCTGAGGACCCGTGAGGGCTGGTGGGTGGCCCCATTATGGCTCCAGAGGATCTGAGACCCCCACACGATGTCACCCGAAGGACTGAGGGACTACAGCGGGAGCGGAACACGCAGAGACGACAGGATACCCCCACAGTGAGTCCAGAGGGGCTGGGACCCCCCCCATAGTGACTTCAGAAGGGCTGAACCCCCCATCCCCACCCTGCCATCACCTGAAGGGACAGGAGGGACAGGACCAGCAGCCACACTGTGATTCCAGAAGGGCTGGGACCCTGCCACACACACACGCTGTCACCCACAGGGCTCAGGGACTGCAGAGGGAGCAGCACCCACAGGGAGGATGTGACCCCCCACACGCAGAGGTGACACCCCCGCTGTCACCTGAGGGACTGCCACCCCATACAGCAAGTCCAGGGGGCTGGGAGTGCCCCCCTAATTGTCACCAGAATCCCTGGGACGCTCCCCACAGTGAGTCCTGAGGAGATGGGACCACCCCAATGTCACCTGAGGGCACAGGAGCCTCCTTGGGCTGGAGCCAGGGCAGGGAGGACCCGCCCTGAGCACCGGGAATGCCCTCGGCAGCTTCACTGGGGGCTGGGGACCCCCTTGGCCACCTCCACGGGGCTCAGAAACCCCCCCGGCTGCTCCCAGGACACTCGGGACCCCCCAAGTGCCTCCAAGGGGCCTTAGGACCACTCCCCACTTCATCCTAGGGGGCTCAAGACCCCCTCCCCAGCTGCTTCCAGGACATCCAGGACCCCCTAAGTTCTTCAAGACCCCCTCCCCAGCTTCTCCCAGGACACTTGGGACCCCCCAGGTGCTTTCAAGGAGCCTTAGGACCACTCCCCACTTCATCCTAGGGGGCTCAAGACCCCCTCCCCAGCTGCTCATAGGATATTCAAGACCCCCCAATTCTTCAAGGGAGCTCAAGACCCCCTCCCCAGCTGCTTCCAGGACATCCAGGACCCCCTAAGTTCTTCAAGACCCCCTCCCCACCTGCTCCCAGGACATTCAGAACCCTCCCCACTTTTTCAAGGGGTCTCAAGACCCCCTCCCCAGCTGCTTCCAGGACATCCAGGACCCCCTAATTTCTTCAAGACCCCCTCCCCAGCTGCTCCCAGTACACTCAGAATCCCCCCATTTCTTCAAGGGGGCTCAAGACCCCCTCCCCAGCTGCTTCCAGGACATCCAGGGCCCCCTAAGTTCTTCAAGACCCTCTCCCCAGCTTCTCCCAGGACACTTGGGACCCCCCAGGTGCTTTCAAGGAGCCTTAGGACCACTCCCCACTTCATCCTAGGGGGCTCAAGACCCCTGCACCTGCCCCCAGGATACTCAGGACCTCTCACTTCTCCAAGGGGGCTCAGGACCCCCTCCCCAGCTGCTCCCAGGACACTCAGGACCCCTCATTTCTTCAGGGGGGCTCAGGACCCCTTCCCCAGCTGCTCCAGGACACTCAGGACCCCCCAGTTCTCCAAGGGGGCTCAGGACCCCCTCCCCAGCTGCTCCCAGGACACTCAGGACCCCTCATTTCTTCAGGGGGGCTCAGGACCCCTTCCCCAGCTGCTCCAGGACACTCAGGACCCCCCAGTTCTCCAAGGGGGCTCAGGCCCCCCTCCCCAGCTGCTCCCAGGATACTCAGGACCCCCTCCCCAGCTGCTCCCAGGACACTCAGGACCCCTCATTTCTTCAGGGGGGCTCAGGACCCCTTCCCCAGCTGCTCCAGGACACTCAGGACCCCCCAGTTCTCCAAGGGGGCTCAGGACCCCCTCCCCAGCTGCTCCCAGGATACTCAGGTCCCCCTCCCCAGCTGCTCCCAGGACATCCAGGACCCCCCCAGTTCTCCAAGGGGGCTCAGGACCCCCTCCCCAGCTGCTCCCAGGACATCCAGGACCCCCCCAGTTCTCCAAGGGGGCTCAGGACCCCCTCCCCAGCTGCTCCCAGACATCCAGGACCCCCCCAGTTCTCCAAGGGGGCTCAGGACCCCCTCCCCAGCTGCTCCCAGACATCCAGGACCCCCCCAGTTCTCCAAGGGGGCTCAGGACCCCCTCCCCAGCTGCTCCAGGACATCCAGGACCCCCCCAGTTCTCCAAGGGGGCTCAGGACCCCCTCCCCAGCTGCTCCAGGACATTTGGGACCCCTGGCTGGTGAGGGATCTGGGATGGATTTGCTTTTTATTCACTTGGAATTCTCAAGGGACTCTGCAAGCAGGACACCGAGCTCCCAGGCTGAAAGGAGTTCCCCAGTTCTGCCGGGAATCTCTGTGAGAAACAAGTGGTGAATTCAGGACCCCCGAAGTTGTTCAAGACCCCCACCCCAGTGCTCCCAGTACACTCAGAACCCCCCCCAGTTCTCCAAGGGGGCTCAGGACCCCCTCCCCAGCTGCTCCCAGGATACTCAGGACCCCTCAAGTTCTCCAAGGGGGCTCAGGACCCCCTCCCCAGCTGCTCCCAGGACATCCAGGACCCATCCAGTTCTCCAAGGGGGCTCAGGACCCCCTCCCCAGCTGCTCCCAGGATACTCAGGACCCCCTCCCCAGCTGCTCCAGGACATCCAGGACCCATCCAGTTCTCCAAGGGGGCTCAGGACCCCCTCCCCAGCTGCTCCCAGGATACTCAGGACCCCCTCCCCAGCTGCTCCAGGACATCCAGGACCCATCCAATTCTTCAAGGGAGCTCAAGACCCCCTCCCCAGCTGCTCCCAGGATACTCAGGACCCCTCAAGTTCTTCAAGGGGGCTCAAGACCCCCTCCCCAGCTGCTCCCAGTACACTCAGAATCCCCCCATTTCTTCAAGGGGGCTCAAGACCCCCTCCCCAGCTGCTCCCAGTACACTCAGAATCCCCCCATTTCTTCAAGGGGGCTCAAGACCCCCTCCCCAGCTGCTCCCAGTACACTCAGGACCCCTCAAGTTCTTCAAGGGGGCTCAAGACCCCCTCCCCAGCTGCTTCCAGGACATCCAGGACCCCCTAAGTTCTTCAAGACCCCCTCCCCAGCTTCTCCCAGGACACTTGGGACCCCCCAGGTGCTTTCAAGGAGCCTTAGGACCACTCCCCACTTCATCCTAGGGGGCTCAAGACCCCTGCACCTGCCCCCAGGATACTCAGGACCTCTCACTTCTCCAAGGGAGCTCAGGACCCCCTCCCCAGCTGCTCCCAGAAAATTCAGGACCCCCGAAGTTGTTCAAGACCCCCACCCCAGTGCTCCCAGTACACTCAGAACCCCCCCCAGTTCTCCAAGGGGGCTCAGGACCCCCTCCCCAGCTGCTTCTAGGACATCCAGGACCCCCTAAGTTCTTCAAGACCCCCTCCCCAGCTTCTCCCAGGACACTTGGGACCCCCCAGGTGCTTTCAAGGAGCCTTAGGACCACTCCCCACTTCATCCTAGGGGGCTCAAGACCCCTGCACCTGCCCCCAGGATACTCAGGACCTCTCACTTCTTCAAGGGAGCTCAGGACCCCCTCTCCAGCTGCTCCCAGAAAATTCAGGACCCCCAAAGTTGTTTAAGACCCCCACCCCAGTGCTCCCAGTACACTCAGAACGCCCCCAGTTCTCCAAGGGGGCTCAGGACCCCCTCCCCAGCTGCTCCCAGGATACTCAGGACCCCCTCCCCAGCTGCTCCCAGGACATCCAGGACCCCCCCAGTTCTCCAAGGGGGCTCAGGACCCCCTCCCCAGGTGCTCCCAGGACATTTGGGACCCCTGGCTGTCCCCAGGG